TGTACCTATACAATTCTCAAGATTCACAAACCCATAAAATATATTACCTGGCAGAGCAATTAACACACCTGAAGATATCTTTGTCAGGTTAGGTTAGGTTAGGTTTCCATTTAACTTTGAATTAAATATTAATGTAAAATATCAACAAATTGTACATCACAGCGTAAATAGACATCTCATTCTGAAGAGTTTCTCATACATTCACCTGAAAATTAGCCCCTAGATTAGTTCACCTGATGATTAAACACTCTGATGTTACCTTGGGTGGAGGGTTATGATAGGTTAGGTTAGGTTAACATTTGGGTGGTTAATTTTACGGTGAAATAGCTGGGAGGGTTAAACTTAAGGTGAATTAATCCGTCAGCAAAGGTTAACCACCGCCAGCAGGGGAGTCAACCACCGTCAGCAGGGGAGTCAACCACCGTCAGCAGGGGAGTCAACCACCGCCAGCAGGGGAGTCAACCACAGTCAACAGGAGTTAGCCACAGTCAACAGGGGAAGTCAACCACTATCAGCAGGAGTCAGCCACAGTCAACAGGGGAGTCAACCACCGTCAGCAGGGGAGTCAACCACCGCCAGCAGGGGAGTCAACCACCGCCAGCAGGGGAATAAACCACCATCAGCAGGGGAGTCAACTACCGTCAGCAGGGGAGTCAACCACCGTGAGGGGCACTGGCCACAGAGCACCGTGCCTCGGTTCGCCAGTAATTTCCCATGATTTTACAACTCTTCCATGGAAGCGTTGATCCAATGTCGTTATTCCACAGCAAATTTAGTGTTGCGAGCCAAACGGTGCTCGGCTTTCTCTTGGTAACGCAGCTGAAGAGTAACCACGAGCATCTACTTTATTTCAAACCTCTAAAAGTATTAGTAAATAAAAAAGAAAGAATAAAAAAATATCTAAAAAGTTAAGTAACTGTTCATCACCTGAGAAAATGGCGTCTAAGAATGGCGCCTCCATGATGGTCTGGTAGGTAAGCGTGCCGTGTTCTTCCACTATGTCCCTCAGTTCCTGACGAAGTCGGTGCTGGAGGTGTGGGTTGCGGGCCAGGTAGTAGGAGACGAAGGCCATGGTGCCGGCTATAGTTTCATGACCCACGATAAGGAACAGGACGGACTGAGCGACGATCGTCGAGTCTTTTATAGCTGGAAAGGAGAGACCAAGAGGGAGTGTTCAGCAGGAAGTGGTCGAGTTGTACTGTACAGTAATGTGAAAGAGCATCGAACCTAACCTAACCTAACCTAACCTAACCGAAAACGTTGATAATTTTACTCTTGGTGAGATATGATACAATTATATAATGACAAGAAACCTTTAGCACAGTCAAATATAAGTTAATCTCAGTTTCACGTAGTCTGGCCTAAACACACATGAGCTTATGTTATTATACCCCAGTCTAATATAACATAACCTAATCTAACCCCAGTATAACCTAACCTAGCCTAGCCTAACCTAACCTAACCTAACCTAACCTAACCTAACCTAACCTAACCTAACCTAACCTAACCTAACCTAACTTAACTTAACTTAACCTAACCTAACCTCATCCCAGACAAACTTAAACTAACTTAAACGTATTCCAGTCTAATCTAACTTATCCTACTCTGAGAACATAATACGAATGAAAGAAACCTGAGCAGCGTTAGGTTAAGAAAGGCTTTACTTGTACCTTGATCCCCCATACAAACTATTGCAAGTTAATAAAAGATCATTGTCAAACTGAACGTCCACACCTACAGTACGAGATCTTAACCCAAGAGAGTAAAACAGTACAGAGGAAAAGTCGTATTTTAAGTGACACCCAATAGGTTTCAAGTCTTGCAATCACATAAAACAAAGAAATAAATAAAATAATGAGAAAATGACGTCCCATGCTACTTAAGTTGCTACTTAATCAAAAAGCTTATTACGATGCTTGTTTTGTTTTTTTTGTCAGCTGCATTTTGTGTTGTACACTTGGCATTAATCTGTCAATGCATACTAATGGGAGCTCAGACTGGCAGCTAATAAATTCAAAGAACTAAACCTATCGTGAGCAGAATCTACACAATAAAATTCGTTAAGTAGCGGTGTCACAGTATTTCCTTGGCACCTCTTAAAAACTTTAAATGAAAGAAATTACAAATACTGTGAAAAAAAGTTATTCTTTACATTGATACACTGTAAACTGTTAGGCCCCGCTGAATCTATTTGGAGATCAACAGCCAACACCAACTTTTAAGCGTGATTAAATTACAGGGGAACAAAATATTGTAATTTAGACAACAGTTAAATCTCGTGTGATTAGTCACTTTAAAACCCCGTCAAGTGCAGACAAAATATATTCTTTCCTTTTTAATTTTTCTTACATTAATTCCTAACCTTAAAGACATTTCTCATTAAATGCATCGAATCTAATATTATTATCAATAGTGTTGCATTATTGAGTAATTCACGTATGTTCTTTAGTTTATAAGGAATTCATGCATATAAACAATAGGGTATTGTTATTGTACATCTCAGCTGATAAACGCTATGACCATATTTGGTGGCCTCTGTCTTGTGTTAACCAAAGATGTTCTATCAACTGTAATGTTTACATAAACATCGAATGAAAACAGATTATGAGTTATATCATTACCAGGAGGCAGGGGGTGACTTGAGGCTCCAGGTGGCGTCTTCTAACTAAGGCTCTGGATTTTCGAAGATTCGTTTATATAGTTTTAATTTTAATTGGTGAAAATGCATATTATAACTGATTAACTTACAAAGACGGAGGCCAAGATGAGTACTAAACAGTGCCGATACTGTCTTAATTAACTGATCGCCTTCTGTTTGTCCCTCAGGGAGAAGAAAATCATCCTCCCAACCGATGCCAAATCTGAATTTAAACAAATACTAAACAAAGACCTGAACAACACTCACGGTACTTAGGTGTCTTGGTGTTCGAGTTGCTCTGCTCCTCCCGCTGTTCTAGCAACAGGTCCAGGAAGTCTCCCCGCTTCACTCCCATCTCTCTATTCTTAATTGTCTCCTCCACCACGCGCTGGAAGAACAGGAACGGTGGAGTGGTAAAAGAAATCCCGATTGCATTCAACACTGAATTAGGTAGCGTTAACAGAGCTATTCCCCGTAATGTTCCCCGCGCGCTGATGGCGTTCAGCTCACTTGCTTTCTTGCAAAATTCTTCCTCCTCATTGTTGATGGAGTTGCACTCGATACCGAAAGCACAGGTACCTATAACATCCATGACATAACGGGCGTAAATTGTCTTTGTCTTAACGAAAGATTTCTCTTCGCAGTGTCGCTGAAGACGTTCTATTAAAGCATCTGCTTTCTCCTCCACTAGGTGGTACATTTGACGCATCCTGCCGGAGGTGAAAGTTGGGGAAATAATAGACCTGACGCCTTTCCAGTGGCTGCCGTTGATGAGAAAAAGCATTTCTCCAAAGCATTCGTCTTTCTTGGATTTACCAACTGTCCTTCGTTCGCTGAAGTGGTCAAAGTCCTGAATCATAATGCGCTTGACTAGCCCAGGGTCACGCACGATCAGGGACGGCTTGAAGATCTCGTAGGCGCCTACGAAGTTGTTCCCTTCATTCTCGTGATACGTCTGGGTGAAGAGAAACATTAACATGTATTTAAATAACATGTAGATGTTATAGGATCAAACACGGGGGCACATTATGAAAATAGTTGTGGCGTCATGAACAAATAGTATTTTTCTTTTAAGTAAGACATTAGGATCTCGGTTCATACTTGTAAATTGTTTTGGGGGTTGAAATTCTTGGATGATGGCAGGTAAGTGTTGTCTTAAATCATGTAAATATTTGCTACTGTAGCTACTAAGGGTATTACAGCTGACTGATTTAACCAATAGCATTGTTATAGAATATCAACATTTGAACTAAGAAACGTAAGGACAAAATAAACAATTTGTTTTACTTGAACATTTCTTACACGACAGTGTGATTAGAGTTAACAGATTGTTGATATTGTACAGAGAAGTGTGAGAGGCTGTGTAGTGTCATGGGTGAGGCCAGGGCTGGTCTTTGGGGGTGAAGCGGTGAGAGGGACCCAGGCTCACCAGCAGGGGTTAAAAACAACCTCGGGTAATAAAGCTCATCTGAATCACAAATTCACCATATTTTAATACCGGTAAAGGCTAGTGCTACTTCAGAACAGGGATGTGCCCTTCTGAGGGCCGAACTTCTGACCGAGTTAGAGAGGGTCAAGGAAGAAAACTTGAAATTAAAGGAAGTGTTAGTGAAGATGAAGAAAGAAACAAGAGAAGGAAAGCCAGTGTCTGACGAAAACTCAGGAGAATGGAAGGTTGTGAGGAGAGGAACGACCAAACTGGTGGTAAGAAAACACACCAAGGATAAGACAACAGCAGCTAAGTGTAAAAACTCTTTTAGTCCTTTGATAGACGAAGTGGACGTTAGCATAGTCAGGGACAGGGTGAACAAGGAAAGTAAGAAAACCTTAATTGTTGGCGATTACCTGGTACGGTATTTGGATAGAGCTTTTTGTGGTAAAAATAAAAATAGGATGGGGGTTTGCTTGCCAGGAGCTGGGGTGGGGGATATAGTTGACAGGATGGACAATATCTTGTCTGGTAATGGGAACAAACCTATTATCTGCCTCAGTGCAGAAGGCAATGATATTAGCCGGTGTTTTTGTGAGGAGCTCCTTGATACGTTCAAGACAGCTATAGAACATATTAGGTAGACGGGAGGGATCCCTATCATATGGGGTGTCCTGTCTAGAAAGAAAGGTGGCAATGAATGGTTGTCAAGGGCAGTTGGTGTCAACGGCAGTTTTGACAGATATTGCAAGTCAATATCAGTCCCATTCGTGGGCAACTGGGACAACTTTTACGGAAGAAGGGACCTTTATGCTAAGGATGGGGTACATCTGTCTAGGGCTGGGGTGCCATCTCTGGCTGGCTATCTCAAGAGGGCAATTCCAAAAATGTCGAAATCTTTAAACTGCTAGGGCAACATATGGGTACGGAGGTGAGGAGACTGCAGTGGCAGAGGATAAACAAAGTGAAAGGTTACAGAGAAATAGTGCTAGGAATGATGACGAAATTAATTTAGGCAGGGAGTTAAAACCCAAACGCGTCAAAGAGAGGACTCAGAACACGACTAACGTTAATGTCTATTACTCAAACAGTAGGAGTATGAGAAACAAAATGGATGAAATCAGGGCGTTGGAATGTACCTAAAAAAATCGATATAATAGCATTCACCGAAACATGGATAAACTTAGACTCACGTAAGTTACCTGTCGAGTACCAAATTGCAGGTTGCAAATTATGCCATACTGATAGGCAGATTAGGAAAGGTGGCGGAGTAGCAATCTATGTCAGGCATAATGTGAAATGTGAAATAAATTAGGAAATAAAAACTGAACTGAATAAAGAATCAATTTTGATAGAATTAACCGATGGTAGGGGAAATCTAATCACCTCCTAATCTTGATAGAGTTAATGAGCGACTTATTTGGGATGAAATAACACAGGGCATCCAGACACAGCAACGTCTGTATAGTAGGCGACTTTAACTTTAGTCAAATAAATTGGATCGACCTTACTGGTAACCCAGAATCAGAGGATTTTCTTGAAACAATCCAGGACTGTTTCCTAAGCCAACATATAACCGAACCCACCCGGGGTAATAATATACTCGATTTAGTTCTGTCAAACTGAGAAAACATCATTAGTACTGCCGAGGTAGGGAACGAACTTGCGAACAGCGGCCACAAAGAAATTAGATTCATATTAGAATTTAAGGCAGTGGCAAGGAAAATTCCATTAAAGTTCCAGATTTCAGAAGGGCAAACTTTGATATTTTGAAAAGGCAGCTGAGAAAAGAGGTATCACGTTTGGGTGTGAATTATATGACCTCACACAATGTACCCACAGAGGGCGACCTCACTCTACTTGGAGACCTGACAACGATAACCTCACAAAATATAACGGCTGAGGATGACCTGATCACAAGATCTGAGGTTGACAAGTTCCACAACAATTTAAATATTGAGTTACTTAATGCACAAAGGCAGTAAATACCATACAGAAAACTTGGATCATATAACAATGATTCTAATGGATAAATAATTATTTAAAGAATATTATTGGACAAAGGAAGGCTATAGGTAGGAGAATAAATCGTGATTAAATTTACCACCGAGATTATTATAAGGTATTGGCCAGTAGGGTTAAGACCGAGATAAGAAAAGCAAAGAGGAATAATGAACTGAAGGTAGCAAGGGAGGCAAAGTCAAACCCCAAGGGATTCTTTCAAATGTATCAAACTAAAACACGATACAAGATTGGACCAATACAGTCAGATACCAGCGAGCTAACTGATAACGACGGAGAAATTAGCAATAATATGAAAAAATATTTTTCAATAGTTTTCACCACCGAAAATTTAAATATGATACCCGAGGCACCAATGTTTCAATACCATGTACTGTATTGTAAACTCCTAGCACCCAGAGGAACATTCTAAGACATATAGCTGTACACACACACACACACACACACACACACACACACACACACACACACACACACACACACACACAGAGATGCAGGCTTTAAAGCTAGAGCGATAAAAAGCTGGATGGGCTATACATATGAATTATAAAGGTTTAAAAGCATCTCAAAGTATTTTCGTGAACGGTGGTATCGTTCTAAAAGGGATAAGCAAAACAAAAACGAACCTGATGATTCCACCGAGTGTATACAGTGAGTAACTGTGAAACGTTGTCAATGAATCACTGTATATGCAAACTCAAGTGGATATATTGATCCTATAATCAGTGGATCCTTTAATCAATTAGGTGGGAATACAGGCGCACATTCATCACCAGACACTTGTATATAAAGAACGTTAGGTTGGGTTAGGTTAGGTTAGACAGCCTTACCTCATTTAGGAAGTACCAAAAGGGTTTAGTACGCTTGAAGATCATGTGGAGATAAATGTAAAAGGTGCGAAAAACGGGGATTGAGGGAATACCACGTGATGACCAATACGAAAACTTCCTCCAGCAATACACAATGAACAGTAACACCACTGCCAGACCCACAGTCCACGTTGATGCCTCCATATTTGTTTTATTCCCTGAGTTTTTCTCTCTCTTGTTTTTTTATTGTTTCATATTCCACTTCTTGTCGTGTCATATACGTTCTCCGTGTCTCCCCTTGCTCAATCTGAAGAAGTAAAAAATTAATATAGATTAGAGTGTCGTAGTTTAATTTTTTCCCAGGACAAGATAACAGTACCAGTCACATCTGAGCCTCAGTAAAATTGGGGTACTATTGCAGGGGCGAGTCACCTGAAGATTAACCACCCAACTTATATTCCCTGAAGATTAACCACCCCACCTTATATTCCACGAGGATTAACCACCCCACCTTATATTCCCTGACGATTAACCACACCACCTTATATTCCCTGAAGATTAACCACCCCACCTTATATTCCCTGAAGATTAACCACCCCACCTTATATTCCCTGAAGATTAACCACCCCACCTTACATTCCCTGAAGATTAACCATCCCACCTTATATTCCCTGAAGATTAACCACCCCACCTTATATTCCCTGAAGATTAACCACCCCACCTTATATTCCCTGAAGATTAACCACCCCACCTTATATTCCCTGAAGATTAACCACCCCACCTTATATTCCCTGAAGATTAACCACCCCACCTTATATTCCCTGAAGATTAACCACCCCACCTTATATTCCCTGCAGATTAACCACCCTTAATCTAACCTACATTACCCAAACTTAAACCCCCAAATAATAATGGGCTGGTTAATATTCAGGTGAGATAAACTGGGACTGTATAATCTTTAGGTAATTCATTTTAAACGGGAATAGTTTTTTTTCATAATTTTATGCTGACCAGTTGGACACTTCCTCACAACTCCAGTTACAGGTTTTCTTTTTGTAATAACTTTCATATATTATTTACAACTGATTTGGAGAGGTGAGGATGAACCACACTGGCTCAATGCAACATACTGGCTCATTGCACCACACTGGGTCAATGCATCACACTGGCTCATTGCATCACACTGAGACAATGCACCACACTGGCTCATTGCACCACACTGGGTCAATGCACCACACTTGGTCATTGCATCACACTGGGTCATTGCATCACTCTGGCTCATTGCACCACACTGGGACAATGCATCACACTGGCTCATTGCATCACACTGGGTCAATGCACCACACTGGGTCAATGCACCACACTTGGTCATTGCATCACACTGGGTCATTGCATCACTCTGGCTCATTGCATCACACTGGGACAATGCATCACACTGGCTCATTGCATCACACTGGGTCAATGCACCACACTGGCTCATTGCATCACACTGGGTCATTGCACCACACTGGCTCATTGCATCACACTGGGTCATTGCATCACTCTGGCTCATTGCACCACACTGGGACAATGCACCACACTGGCTCATTGCACCACACGGGACAATGCATCACACTGGCTCATTGCACCACACCGGGACAATGCATCACACTGGCTCATTGCACCACACCGGGACGCAATGCATCACACTGGCTCATTGCATCACACTGGGTCAATGCATCACACTGGCTCATTGCATCACACTGGGTCAATGCATCACACTGGCTCATTGCATCACACTGGGTCAATGCATCACATCACCTGGGTCTCATATTGCATCACACTGGGTCATTGCATCACTCTGGCTCATTACCACACTGGGACAATGCACCACTGGCTCATTGCACCACACGGGGACAATGCATCACACTGGCTCATTGCATCACACTGGGTCATTGCATCACTCTGGCTCATTGCACCACACTGGACAATGCACCACACTGGCTCATTGCACCACACCGGGACAATGCATCACACTGCTCATTGCATCACTCTGGCTCATTGCACCACACTGGGACACGCACCACACTGGCTCATTCCACCACACCGGACAATGCATCACACTGGCTCATTACACCACACCGGGACAATGCATCACACTGGCTCATTGAATCACACTGGGTCAATGCACCACACTGGCTCATTACCACTGGGACATGCATCACTGGCTCATTGCACCACACCGGACAATGCATCACGCTAACTCATTTGCATCACTGGTCAATCACACCACACTGGCTCATTGCATCACACTGGGTCATTGCATCACTCGGCTCATTGCACCACACTGGGACAATGCACACTGGCTCATTGCACCACACCGGGACAATGCATCACACTGGCTCATTGAATCACACTGGGTCAATGAATCACACTGGCTCATTGCACCACACTGGGTCAATGCACCACACTGGCCCATTGCACCACACCGGGACAATGCATCACACTGGCTCATTGCATCACACTGGGTCAATGCATCACACTGGCTCATTGAATCACACTGGGTCACTGCATCACATTGCATCACACTGGGTCAATGCATCACACTGGCTCATTGCACCACACCAGGACAATGCATCACACTGTCATTGCACCACACCGGGACAATGCATCACACTGGCTCATTGCACCGGGACAATGCATCACACTGGCTCATTGCATCACACTGGGTCAATGCATCACACTGGCTCATTGCATCACACTGGGTCAATGCATCACACTGGCTCATTGCATCACTCTGGGTCAATGCATCACACTGGCCCTTTGCACCACACCGGGACAATGCATCACACTGGGTCAATGCATCACACTGGCTCATTGCATCACACTGGGTCAATGCATCACACTGGTTCATTGCACCACACCAGGACAATGCATCACACTGGCTCATTGCATCACACTGGGTCAATGCATCACACTGCCTCAACACAGGATGCGATTTTTCCCACCATGTATTACCCAAACTACTTTTACTATTGTATTCAAATTACCAGCAAGTAAATGTCCAGGTAACCCTTTCTAAATAAAAAAACCCCTTTATATTACTTTATTTACTTAATTCATGTTGAAAATAATGAATTACAACTTCAAAACAGCCCAAACAAGTAATGTGGTTAACAAGTGTATGGTAATGTTAAAGGCATTACAAACCAACGTACTATTTAACTGAATAGAAAAATCCAAACATTTATAAAATAATAATAGTGAAATATCAGCAAACACACAAAAAGCATAAATTGCTAGTTCAACATAAGAAATTTTTAACTTTAACGCTAAGTCACAAATAGGCACATTTAACATATCTAACAAGCATCATCCGTAACCTTAATAATTTAATAACTAATCATTGTGACTGTAAGAAGCGCTGGAAAAAACGCCAATAAAAACAAGGCGTAGACTAACTCATTCTTGGCAACTTCCACACACACACACACACACACAGACTGATATAGCTATGAGAACAGCTCAGTCCAAACCATTGTATAAATTATCAACAACTCGTAATCAACCAATCTATTCACTCCCAGCCAATTTTATCTTTTTTGCACTGTCAGTATGTTAAAACGCCCTGTAGTATAACCTTCTCCCCACCTTGTTATTATATATTATAATTGTATCACTTACGTTAATTGTATACTATTTATCAATGAAGTGACCCATTCCCAATTATGTAACTGAATATTTTCAACCTTTTGGCTGCCGTGATCTTTCAATACACCGTAAATTATTATTATTATTATGATTAGACATACACAGTTACACACACAGATATACACAGTTACACACATACACATAGATATACACAGTTACACACAGACATACACAAACCACTCACACAGACATACACACATACCCACACAAACACAAACACAGACATACAGAGACAAACACAAACACAGACCCACACACACATACACAAACACAGACCCACACACACATACACAAACACTTTATCGGTCAACTTTAAAGTGCCAGTGACAAGGACCACCGCGGTGTTTACATATATCGTGAAAACTGTGTCGGCGACCCCAAGCACCGAGGACAAAGTCCACGGTCTTTACAACTGACAAACATTAACAGATGTCTACCAGTGTCAGTGTCCCTCAAAGTGCCGCCAGTGACGAACACTTCCGTCCGCCCACAACAGATTTCAACCGATGGCCACCAATCACTTACTCCCGACGCACTCTGTATCATCTAAAGCGTGGGAACGGTTATCCTGATGGGAGTGTTATCGCGCTACTCAAGTCACTGAAAATATTCCACGCGCGGAGCCGTAGACAAGGCCGTCATGCACATAAGCCCATTAGAACCGTAACCTCCACTAGGAAACCGGAGAAACCCACCCCTGACAGACCATACCACCACACTGAAGTTCCACGGATATGGTATGATCTCCCGTCTCTACTGCTATCCAACGTCACTTCCCTAGCTAACAAGTTCGACGAGCTGGCAACTACAGTCAGGTCAACCGCCGCGCGCGTGGTTGCCATATGTGAGACTTGGCAAATTGTACCTGAAACGTGTCACATTGAAGGATATCAACTCTTTCATCACCTTCGTCCACAAAGACGCGGAGGGGGCGTTGCCCTCTTCTGTCAAGATGACCTACGCCCGTCACGCCTGGATGTTCAAGTCCCAGCAGATGTGGAAGCATTATGGGTACGTGTCGTGCTGCGGGCACACCCACGCAACACTGCTTCCATTATAATCTGCGTGGTATACCATCCGCCTCGATCACCCACCAGAGACACTCTTATCAATCATCTCATTACCACCTCAGACCACCTCAGAGTTAGGTACCCATGTGCCAAGTTAGTATTATGTGGGGATTTAAATGAAATTGACACCACTGATATCCAGGACCAGCTATCACTATCACAAGTTGTGACCTTCCCCACACACGGTCAAAACACCCTTGACCTTATCTTAACTGACTTAGCGGACCAGTACCAACCACCTCAACCACTGCCTCCTGTCGGGTGTAGCACACACTTATCAGTGCTCTGGTCCCCTGCTGCCACTCCCACTCAAGTACAGAGACCCTACATCAAGACCTACAGGCCGATTACTGACTCTGCAGTACGCCTCTTTGGACAGTGGATAGTTCACTATCCCTGGACTGAAGTACTCAGCGTGGATGACGTGGAAACCAAATGGATAAATTATACCAACACCACCACCGAAGCTCACCACCACTTCTTCCCCGAGAAGTCCGTCAGATCTCACCCAGCTGACTTGCCCTGGATCACACCTCGGATCAAAAGACTTATGCAACAGAGAGACAGAGCATTTCATCTCAATGACCACATCCGCTACAGGTCACTTCGCAACAGAGTCATCCGCGAAATACGCACTGCAAAGAAGTCCCACTACCCAACCAAATTACGCTTTTGAAGCAGACCAACATCGGTCAATGGTATGGTAAGCTTAAAGAACTCTGTGGATACAACTGTACCAACACACCCCTCCTTCGCCAGCCACCTCACTAGCCAGCGCAGCTGACAAACAAATAACCCATTTCTTTACTATATGCCAGGCAACTCCCCCGCAGCAGCACAACCACTCTCACACCAGCACCTACCAGCCCCCCCTTCCCCACGGCTTAGTAGAGGGGTGACGTAGCAAAACGCCTGGACAAACTAAAATTAAAACGCTCTACCAACCCCATTGACTTACCAATGAAACTATTCAAGGAGTTCTCCCCGGAGCTTGCTAAACCCCTCTGCTCCATCATCAATGCTTCTCTCAGTCAAGCCAGATGCCCAGCTGACTGGAAGACCTCTTATGTATCACCAGTGCCCAAGTCAACCAGCCCACAATCCTTAAATCAGCTACGACCTATTGCAATCACCCCCAATACCCAGCCTAATCTGTGAAAGTTTTGTGTTTGACTGGGCTTATGCTGATATTGCAGGAGTCGTAGACCCTCAGCAATTTGGCAACATGAAAACTTCCTCCACCACTCACTGTCTTGTCAGCTTTCTCGATTACATATACCGCCATCTCGAGAAACGAAAAACGTCTGTAGCTGTCGCCTTCATTGATTTCACTAAAGCGTTCGACCTAGTCGACCACAATATAATCATAAACAAAGCTATTGACCTCGGGCTTCGGAAAGTCTCATACCATGGCTTACAGACTTCCTCAGTGACCGACGCCAAGCTGTACGCTTCCGAGGGCTGTCTCCACCTTTCAGTCACTCACCTGTGGCGTCCCCAAAGGCACCAAGATGGGACCACTCTGCTTCCTTATGCTCATCAATGATGCCCTAAGAAGCCCCCTGCTCGCTGGAAATATGTCGACGACTCACCATTGGGATCAGCGTCAACAATTCTGCTCCCCAACTATACCGCCCTTCAGGATTTATTGAACAGTCTCCCAAACTGGGCCACCAACAACCATGTCACCATCAACCATACCAAGACCATGGTTATGCACATCAACCTCTCCTCCGACATTGTCCCACCTCCCTTCCATTACTTTAGGTCCGAACACACTCCAGGTTGTAGATTCCACTAAGCTCCTCGGCGTCACCACAGACAACAAACTAAATTGGAAACCACACGTCAGTGAAGTTGTCAAATCCTCCAGTTTCCGTCTCCACCTCCTCCGCCGACTCAAGTCCCTCGGAGTTCCTGCACCCGAGCTCCTCGGTGTTTACACAACATTCATACTTCCCAAGCTCACTTATGCCTCCCCTACCTGGTCTTCCTCCCTAAATGCCACACAACGTAAACACCTAGAAAAAGTGCAAAAGAGGGCATGCAAGATTATTCTCTCCCCTTCCTACTCCACATATCAAGAAGCGCTCAACACACTGACCCTTTCGACTCTCACTGACCATCACCACGGCCTCATCTGCAAATTTGGTAAGAAGCTTCTACACCATCCCCGACACCGGCCCCTACTACCACCTGAGATCCCCTGTCCGAGAATTGCTGTTCGACACCACAACCGCATCCAGCCCATACGTGCACGAACTGATCGCTATAAGAACAGCCCAGTCCCAACCATTGTAAAAATTATCAATAACATGTAATAAATCAGTGTATTCACTCCCAGTAAACACTGCTCCCTACTATGTTGAAATGAACTGTATTTTGAGCTGATCCCCATCTAAGTTACTATATGTCTTATTTGTGTCACTTATGTCACTTGTATATTATTTGTGAATTCGTAACCCATTCCCCTAAATAATAGCAACTGTATATTTTCAGCCCTTTAGCTATAAGCTCTTTCAATAAACCGTTAATTATTATTATTATTATTATTATTATTAGTATAAACACAGACCCACACAGACATACACAAACACAGACCCACACACACATACACATACACAAACACAGACCCACACAGACATACACAAACACAGACCCACACACACATACATACACAAACACAGACCCACACACACATACATAAACACAGACCCACTCAGACAAACACAAACACAGACCCACACGTAAACAAAATACTCTTAAATTTCTCAGTGACTCGTAAGTTAAATTTCAAATATAAAATCTAAAGCGGGATATGACTTATATTAGGAATCTTTGAGAATTCGAATAAATATATACTGTAGATTCAAACCTCAAACTAAACATTTACACTTCACATAACCTTTCTATGTGAGATTTCATCAAATTGGTTCACTTGTAAGTTACTATATAAACACGCTGCCATGGAGATAACAAAATAGTAACATCATCCTAAATATATAAAAATAATAACAGAATAATGCTGTAACGTTATCCTAGAGGCAGAGAATAACAAGTCCCAGAGATGGATATAAGAATGGCATCAATACAGTCATCATGTTAGCCTAGGGCTCCACTGTACAGGCCTCGGTAGAGGTAGTAACAGAATTTGACCAACACCCCAGACTAACATCACTATAGACAGACTAGAAAATATCTACTCTATACCATAATCACTTTACAAAATTATAAACTACCAAGAGTAGTACGGTACAAACCTGTTAGAGCTCTTCAAGCGACGCACAGCGACTAAAGCTCAGGCTTCTCTAGATATGATAATAACGACGACCTTGCATCAGAATTCCACCAAGTTGCAAGATACCTCTACACAGCAGCGTTATAATAGTCTTTATTCATTATTTGAAGTCATTTAAAATAATTTATTTGTTATGGGACTCGACGTCTCCAAAGCATTTGACAGGCAGTCTTTGCTTTCTAAACTTCCCTCTTATGGTTCTCTCCCCCACTTTGTTTTCTAATCTCTAGCTTCCTTGAGAACCGATCCATGGCAGTTGTTGTCGTTAGGCCACCTGGCTTATTGCATCATAAACTTTGTAATTACTACATTGAATCGGGGTGCTTGAGGACATTCTTGCTGTTTATCCCAAATTTGCTAGCCCACACTGATTAGTCTTCAATTTGAATATGACGTCCAATGTATATGAACTACTGTCCTGCATGGCAGTGAACAGTAACATTGTAGTGGATTCCTCCCCTACAAACGCTGTTTGCCGCCGAGTAGCCGACCCCGCGAATTCCCCAGTGCATACCTCGTGGTCTAGGTCAACCATGCGCCGCCATACATGACGGAGGTCAACTATTAAGCCACGCCTACTTCCGCTATATTAGACCTGACCTCGTGGTGACCTACCTCTCTTTTCTACTTACAGCCACCAGCAAGCAACGCCTTCTCCTCCTCCTCCTCCTGCCTGGCGGTCCTCGCTCCCGCCGGCGACCATGGCGACCCACAAGCTGGTCCTCCTCTGAGCACCCTCACCAACCAGCTCTCTCTACTCAACGCTTGTAACCATGCTGCCTTCCCAGCACCAAGCTGCATTATACATTTAATACAATATGTATACAGAGAGCATATTGTGAGTTTCCTTTCTCCATCCCATCCTGAGTGTAAACCCAAACATAACGTACCCCACAAATGCTGACCCCCGGAGATTCGCACCCACACAGGATGGAGGAGAAACCGATCACTCTCCCAGTCTTCAAGCAACATGGAAGACTGGCTTATCCACACAGAGGCAGCTCTCTCCGGTTCTACAGCTACTGTCTCTACACTGCAGGTTGACACCCTTGAGCAGCACTGCTTCTCTAAGCAGACACCAGCTCCTCTTCCTGCCCCAAGCACCACGTCTTACCGACCCCAGCACACCCGTCCTGCCTCAGACGCCGCCCCGGCCCAGCAGTACCCTCTGCCACTGTCCTGGACCCTCCTCCTGACGCGGACCCTCCTCGGCTCCTGCCTGGCAGCCCCTGCTCCCGTCGCGGCCCATGCGCCTGAGTGCGGCCCCACACACCCTTTTTTTTTCCCTCAGGTACTCCCTGCTACTGTCCTGCACCCTGTTGCTGTCGTGGACCCTGCTGCTGTCATGCACCCTGCTGCTGTCATAGACCCTCTTCCTGATGCAGCCCCTGCTCCTGACCCAGACCCACACACCCCAGCAGGCGCATCTGAAGACTCTGTACCTGCCGCGAGGGAAGCAATAAAATTCATCGCCTCCACAACCATTCTTCTCCCTCTCTCCTCCCACAGATCTCGTGTATCTAGACAAAGTTGCCTCCCGTAGCGACCGGCTAATCCACGCCCTCGCCGTTATGTCTCACATGTGGCATACAACCAAGCCGACAACAAGTCTCCTGCACCGCCCGTTCTGCCTCACATGTGGGATGCAACCCTGCAGACAACAAGTCTCCTACACCGCCTGGAGGGAAGGGGGAGTATTGTAGTAGATTCCTCTCCTACAAACGCTGTTTGTCGCCGAGTAGCCGACCCCGCGAATTCCCCAGTGTATGCCTCGTGGTCTAGGTCAACCAGCGCCGCCTT